CAGGCGGTCTGGACGCCTGGGTAGTGTGTCCAAGCCCTCACAGCAAACTATGAGATTTTTTTTGGTGCATCTCTTGGTGGCCATAGTGCAGTAAACTTTTGTTCTAATAAATAAAATAATAATAAAGATAACTATGCAAGAACTGGCGCGGAATTATGCTCCTGTCTATCCCAAGCAAAATACTAAGCCGCATCATCCTGGAGAGAATCAAACAAGCCCTGGATGAAAAACTTCGACCGGAACAAGCTGGATTCAGGAGAAACAAGTCATATATTGATCAGATCGCCACATTACGGATCATCATTGAACAAAACCTGGAATGGCAGTCACCTCTCTATCTCAACTTCATCGACTTTGAAAATACCTACAGCAGCCAGCGTCGATCGAGAGGTGATTTGGCAACTACTTCGCTACTACGGGGTGCCACCGACAATAATACATCTCATCCAACAGTTGTACGACAATGCTGCATGCCAAGTAATCCCCAACGGGAAACTTACGGAATCCTTTGAAGTGAGGACAGGAGTAAGACAAGCCGGCTGCCTACTATCACCAATGATTTTCTTGATTGCAGTAGACTGGATAATGCGACAGACAGCGGGTAGCGAAGAAACAGGCATAAAATAGACTCACACAAAAAACTTGGAGGATCTGGACTTTGCCGATGCGATATATGTCTGATTTCCCACAAACTGGAAGATATGCAAGCGAAAAGCAGCAAGTTGGCAGAACAAGCATCCAGAGAAGATAGGACTTCAGGTGAACATAGAGAAAACAGAGGTGATGAAGATTCCTGGGCGACACCACCAACAGCAACAGACAACAATCAGCATAAATGGAAGGAACCTGAAAGAAACAACCTTTTTTACATACCTGGGAAGCATCGTTTCAACTACAGGCGGAACTAACGAGGATATCAAAGCAAGAATCGGAAAAGCAAGACAAGCTTTCACTACTCTCAAGTCTGTGTGGAGGTCAACAGCACTCAGCATCAAAAATAAGATCCGGATTTTCAACTCCAATGTGCTACTTACTATACGTGCGGATCAGAGACTTGGCGCGTCATGAAGAGCATCTGAAACAAACTACAGACCTTCATTAACAGTTGTCTTCGCTCAATACTCAAGATCAGATGGCCGGCCAGAAAAGATCAGCAACAGAGATCTCTGGCGATGAGCAGACCAACCAGGAACCGATTGTGAAACAAATAGGCAGGAAGAAATGGAGATGGATTGGCCATACTCTGAGGAAACCATCAAGTGACATCACTAGACAAGCCAGTGCTCGATTGGAACCCGAAAGGGAAGCGGCGAGTTGGTCGTCAGTGCAAGGGTGACTTCAGGAGGAGGTCATGTGAAGAGGAGATGAAAACGTGTGGGCAGACTTGGAGCCAGGTGAAGACTCTAGCAGAGAACCGAACGCAATGGAGACGCACGGCTGAAGCCCTATGTTCCTCTAGGAATTAAAGGAAACAATAATAATAATATTATAATGATAATAGCTAACCTATTTAATATGTCAGTAAACATCTCTCAGACAATTTCAACCACAACGTGGGGGTTCATCACAAACCAACATCAATTGTAGAGAACTACCGAAAACCAAAGAGCAACACAGGTCACCAAGTCAGATGTGAGGTTGGGGCAGTGGCTCCGTATTAGGAAATGAAAGAGTTAGCGTATAAGGTTTTTATGGGATCACAATCCAGGGGACTGAATGAATAGTTAACGGAATCGCCTCATAACATGAAAGAAAGTTCTCAGTTCTACATCCATGAGGGGGTTTTAAGTGAGCTATGCTATAGAATCTCAAACTAGGATGAAACAGCACTCCATGGTTTCAGTTGTTCATGTTGAAATCTATACTGAAATTGATTCAAATGCCCACAACTCAACATTTGAGAACCAGTAAAGATTACTGAAGTCGTAAGTTAGTGTCAGTTTAACCAATCCACCTTACCATTCACTTAGAAAGACACCAACACTGTAGTATTTTTGTATATACCAAATATTACTTTGTATTAAGTTGGTATGATATAGTCAGTAATATTGCCATTAGACGTAGAGTGTTAGGTAGGGAGGAAAAGTCGACAGGTGAGGTTGTGAAGATACATCGAATGAGATGAATACGACACGTGTTTGTTTCGCATATACCGTGCTATTTGCCTTCCTCGTCGAGCAATGTTGACTGACATAGGGGGTTAGGTTGGATGAGAGTCAGGAGAAGTGCTCAACAGTTGGTTTGAGCCAACCACTCAGGGAAGTGTAGACTGCCTGATCGGGGTATACATATACTAAACATGCTATTCATTCCATAGAGTTTATTGTAAACCAACCAGACCGAATTTAATCTAAGCAAATTATAGGCAGGCAACTTGATGGTTGAAATGTCAGTATTTATGCTATTGAAAAACACCCACTTCTAATAATACAGATACACTAAAATGGACGTCAGATGAAACAGAAATACCCATACACAGGATAAAGTGACTTTAATCGATAAGGAAGTGCGTCGGTGGCATAGCGGTTAGGACGCTCGCCGACCGTGCACATGGTCCGGAGTGCGATCCCCGTCCAACGGACGCACTCCTTTACCTCGTCAAGCCAGAACTAAAAGCTGATGAAGAGGAAAGGTTGGGGGCATAAGGATAGCAATCCCATCCTTTAAAAATAAATACCACTGCTACAGAAACTTCAAGCCACTAGCTTGAAGCCCTATGTTCCACTGGGAACGTGAAGGGATAAAAAAATCGATAAGGAAAAGGTTTTGAATCCCTAGCACTAATGTCAAGTGTATCGATGGTAGAATACTTGCCAGTCGCACTGGAGATTTGAGTTCGATTCCTGGTAGACACACAATTAAACTTCATCCATTATTGATAGCTGGATAAAACTTGTGCACTGTAGTGGTAGAGTATAATTCCATTATGGATAAAATTTTATTTTGACAAAGTCACATATGGTTATACAGTAAGTAATATTTACTGATGACCACACGTTTCGAGCACAATTTATCATTGCTACTCATAATCATATCAAGGTACCTTGATTACATAAGGTTTGGAAGGTAGGAAAGGGCACCTTCCAACGTTGGAAGAAAGGCTATCTTGTTAAACTAACCAAAGGGTGAATTAGACCTTTGAAAAGAATGCCACAGAATCATGCTTCTGTCCACGCTGAAAGATTCTCTGGGTACGAAACTCCACTTGAAAAAAACAACAACTGGATTCACGAAAAATAAATCATGCACAGATCAAAACGCAAAACAACAACATCCAATAAACCGTAGAATGACAGTCAACTCCTTACACCTCAATATCATCGACTTTGAAAAGGCTTTCGATAGTATTGATCAGAGAGTAAACACTGCAAACTGCCTCAACACACTACGGAGCACTCCATATCCTTATAAACATCATTCAACAGGCATACGATGATCCTGTTATGCCCAGTGATTGATTCACAAAGGAAAGCTTAAAGAAGCCTTTGAAGTGAAGATGCGAGTAAGACAAGACTGCCTACTATCATCGATGATCCTCTTCACTGTGGTAGGGTGGGGGGGGACGTGCGAGAAGACAGGAATATGTTGAGTCAACACAAGACAAAACTTTGCGGATGATTTGTGTCTTATATTATTATTATTGTTCCCTTGGGTTCCTAGTGGAAAATAGAGCTTCAACTGCACGCCTCCACTTGCTTCTGTCTTCTGCTGTACTTTTCACCTGCATCCATGTTAGTCCATACTGTTTCAACTCCTCTTCACACGATCTCCTCCATGTCACCCTTGCACCAACGTCCCACTCGCCGCTTCCCTCTCGGGTTCCACTCGAGCTTGATGTCACCCACTGGCCTTCTCAGTGTGTGTCCAATCCATCTCCACTTTCTCCTGAAAATTTGTTTAACGATTGGTTCTTGTTTTATTTGTTCCCTTTTATTTCTTGTTGGTGATTCTTTCCGGCCATCTGATCTTCAGTATAGAGTGAAGACAGTTGTTGATAAAGATCTGCAACAGGCTGTTGGAAATATTCTTTGTGACCCACCAAGTTTCTGATCCATCCGTATAGAAGAACTGACTGACTTGGCGTTTGTATTGAAAATCCGAATCACTTTGTTGTTGATGTTGTTGTTGAGTGACGAAGATTTCCAGATTGGTTTCAGGTTGATGAATGTGTTTCTCGCCTTCCCGATTCTCGATTTGACATCCTCGTCCGTTCCTCATGTAGTTGAGACAATGCTCCGTAGATAAGTGAATGAAGTAACCTCTTTCAAATCCCTCCCGTTGATGGTGATTGGCGTTGGATGTTGCTGCTGTTATTGTTGTTGTTGGTTGGTTAGTTATTTTCATGACCTCCGTCTTGTCTATGTTCACCTAGAGTCCTGTCTTCACTGCCTGCTTCTTCGACCAGTTTGTCAGTTTTCGCTTGTAAGTCTTTGATTTTGTGTGACATCAAACATAAGTCATCCACGCGCGAAATGCAGGTCTTCTAGATTCTTCACGTCGGTCTAACACCACACAAACCTGAAGATCTACAGGTAAAAACCAGCAACTTTAGCAGAGAAGACAGTGGGGGGGTATCAAGTGAACATAAACATGACAGAAGTGGTGAAGACACCTAACCAACCAACCAACAAACCAACAACAAGCACCCATATCACTATCGACAGCAGAAATTAGGTCACTTTTCTCAATTATCTCGGCGACATCGTGCTCACTATGTGTGGAACGCATCAGGATGTCAAAATCTGAATCGAGAAGGCAAACACAGATCTTCATCACTCTGAAATCACAGTTTGAAAGTTTTCTGCGCTCAGAATAAAGGAAACAAAAATTCGAACTTTTAAACACCAATATATCAAGTCACTTATTCCACACAGGTGAGAAATTAAAAAACCTATTGCCAAAAAAAGAGGACGATGCACTAAACAGACACTCTCGATATCGAATAATATGATTCAAAGACAAAAATTTGTTTTGTCGTCGTCTCGAGAAGAAGGATTTACCTGTTTCATTATTTGATACTACAACATTATCATCACCAACAACAGTATGCGAGTCTGGCTTAAACGCTTCAGACAATGTGGTTATGGAAGCGTCATCGTCATTGGAGAATAATGATGGTGAATTCGGTAGTCCATTGAATTGCTGCTGCTGTTGTTCGTGTTGAATGTAGTGGTTAAAACAACTAGATGAATTGGAGATATCACCGGCAGCAGCAGCAGCAACAACAACAATCGGTTGATTATTGTCAATTGATGATGATGGTTGGACTATCTCTGAATGAGGATTAATTCTCCCGGGAGGGTTATTCGACAATGTTTGACATTGATCTCCAACCACTAGATCACTAGACTGAACATCCATTATTTCAACATGGAAATTATCATTTGTTGAAGATCCAGATAGTATATTATTATTATTGTTATTATTACTTTGATGAATAGTTGATAAATGAGAAGAATAATCTGTAAGAAGATTAGATGATGGATTATTATTATATGCTATACTTGATGATGAATGTGATATCTCAGGAGGATTATCCATTATCGGTTGTACAACAACAGGAGTCGAGTTCACTACGATTGGTGTGGTTGTTGTTGCTGGAATTGTTGACAACGTGGGCGGTGTGTCTACTACTGTTGGCGCCATTGTTCCACTTGATACTGACACTGTAGTCACTGATTCAGTCAGCGAATATGGATTGAATAATTCAGTCAAATCACCAGGAAGATGTCCACGTAAATGGCCAATGAAATGAGCTTGAAACGAGGCTTCATCAGGACAGATAGTTTGACAATCTTTTAGTGGACAGGCAAAAATTAAGCGGACAAGTTGATGTTGAACTAAAAAGAAAAAGGAAAATAAAAAAGTGCAGAAAAAAAGTAATAGTATTGTGGTGAGGGCTGTGTCTGCTAACCGAAAATTGTAGACAACAATTTACGTCAATATTTATGTCCCGAATCGGGGGCATGAGAAAAAAAACAAGGTGACTCTAAACTATAGAAGTCCAAACAGAAACTACCTAGCGAACGGATAAATGACCTTGACAACGACAACTTTGACCAATCAGAAGCCACCATAGAAACGGCTCATAGTTTCAATAAGACGTTTATAGAAAAGTAATGCAATGTTAATAGTTACAAAGGATAACTTTCTCGTATATGTTCCAAAAAAACCTCCCAATTTCTTATAAGAGTCTTCATAGTTATGTTAAACCAGGCCCTGTACATAAACTCATCGAGATAACCGTATATCATTGCATTTCTTGATCCATTCACAGAACTAATACGTTTTTTGAGGTGACTCCAACAATTTTCGATGGAATTAGTGTGAGTTTCATCGAAAGGATTGATGAAATCATTTGTATGGTTGACAACGTGATGAATATAGCCCAGAGTTAATAGCTGACTATAACTACTCCATTCATCTGTATGCATAGTTGTTCCAGGCAGTACTAAGCGCTGGATAATAGGCAATAAGACATTTGCACTGCGATTAGGGATCGCATCGATGTATCCCTTGTGGAGGGTAATGTCATATGTCCCAAACATTCACTGCTGATTCGCACTCAATCTCCCTCGATTAAATTTTCTTTTTATCAGCACTATCTCATCCACGTGAATAATGACGCCAACTCCGTCAAGTACCTGAGTCAGCCTGTTCATTTTCCATGATGTTATGTCCCTGCAGTACTGGTACCATTGCACTGCAGACACTTCTGAATTTTCTGATTCATACGCTGGTGCTGTTACTGGTCTTTTTAGCACCCAGTTATGACGCATTATTGAAATTTTCGTCAGAGGTAATTTAGACTTGGAGAAAAATGTACCTAAGGAATCTGTAAACTAAAAATGAACGGCATACCTTCTCGAACTGACTTTCTGGTTCGGCACTCATCGCACCTGTAAACAAATCCATCAATGCACCTAGTATATCTTTTTATATACATGACACCTCCAAATTCACACTTTTTCGACCTTCCTATCAGTCTGTTCTCCAAATAGTAATAAAAAACAAGGTGTGGAGCGAATGCGCAATGCAAAAGGTGTAGGGCATCGATAAGTACTCCTTAGTAATACAGAGGCACCTGACTGGTTGCCCAAGGTCATTTATCCATTCGCTAGGTAGTTTCAGATTGGGCTGCTATAGTTTAGAGTCACCAAAAACTATAACAAAGCTTAACCTTGAGGAACTCAACAACCAATCGCAGCAGACTTAACGTGTGCAAACCCAATTCGCGGATATATGGCTTAACTTTCTAAGAAACAGTCACAAGCAGTACAGAATAACCTTCAGCAAGGAAACAACCAATCAGAAGACATTGCTTCTCCGCTAACAATAATGTACATAAAAATCTATAAATATCTGTTGATTTTCTCAATAAACGATCTGTTGCCTGGCCCTTGTTTTCTAACGTTACAGTTGCATTCTAATTAAACCTTGTACATTGATTAACCATGACGAGCATGTAGTCCTTACAGTCAGAGTACTGACTGAATTATATCAGTCATCTTATTCATGAAGTAGTTAAACTAGATGATTAGCCATTTTGGAACTTTCTAAAGAATTCATGTTAGGTAGTTGAAGGTAATCGACATGAAATCCTGAACCTAGGTGTCTCCTCCGTCCTCTTTTATGGCTGTGAGTCAGACATGGCCATTGAAAATGGAAGACATGAAAAACTGGCTAGCTAGCTATCTTTGATCATAGGCGCCTGCGTTCTATCTCCTGTGTTAGGTAGTATATCGAGGTTAGGCGTCGGTTGAGTGCTAGGAGGTAAGGAGGGGAAATCAGTCGACCAAGCTGTCAAGCTAAATCGATTGAGATGGTTAGGACATGTGTTACGCATACATCCCTAGACATCGCCTTCCTCGACCGACGGTCAATGCTAGCTGACATAGGATAGATCAGGTTGGAAAAGAGCTAGTGGCGGGCAAACCAAAAACATGACTTTATCAATCAATAAAATAAATCCATAACAGTTAGTTTAAGCCAGCCAGCCAGTCACGTAGGGAGGGAGGTGTAGACTTCTTGACTGGTAGGGGTCTTCGGGATGGTAAAAACCAATGGTTGGAAACAATCAGTGACATGGCTCAAAATCGTTCTCAGTGGTGCAGATGCATCCATTCCTTGTGACTTATGATTTCCAATGAAACTGTTTTGTTCTTCGTTATTACTACTCCTTTGTCTCACACCTCTGTTTACTGTGTATATTATGCATTTCTCCTACTTTCTTCTCTTGGTTTGTGTGCTACGTGGAGTATGGCGACTTGAAGTGCCGTACATATGTGCAAAGTTCTATATCGAAAACAGACAGACAGACAGACCTATGTTCCCACTAGGAACCCAAAAGGAATAATAATAACCCTATTTGAGAGTAAACTAACTTACTTTCAGGAAAATGAACATTTGTTAAATGAGCCGATAAATCCGCTCGACCAGAACAAACATATGTACACTTATCAACTGGACAATAGACAGAATCAGTTTTTGAACAACTCAATGCATGTATACCACTAATCCATTCACGTTCTTTCATTTTCATTCCTTCTACATTTACGTTAATATATCCACAACTTGGACATTTAGTATTATTATTATTCCCTATTGTATTATTATTGCCGTTCTGCTGCTTGTGTACTTCACCATCATCATTACCACCATCGTCAACATCAACATTCAATGCTCTAGGATCGTTACCAGTGCTTAGAGTACGTCGACGACAATTATCCACAGTAGTAGTAATAGTAGTAGTAGTACAGTGTTTTTGTGAATTAACAATTGTACTTGTACTACCGCCTACTGGCGATGAAGAATGCTGAATAGGACAAGAGACAAGTAAATCTGAAGAATTCAATAAGGATTGATGTTTACAATGACTAATTATTGTTGGTGTTTGATCAGTACTACTAGGAAATGCTGAGGAATACTGTTTAGTCATTGGTCCATTGGCACTATGACTCCCACTGATTGATCGTAATCGACGTTGTTTTCTCATTGGTTTGAATAATACTTGTAGTTTATTGCCTTCATCATTTTGTTTATTCGGATGTAGATTTTCACTTGGATTTGATGAATTGCCAACATCAACTGGTATTGAGAAACTGTTTGAGCATACATTTGTGTGTAGATCTACAAAATACAAGAAGAGGAATTATAGATTATTTAAATAAAGCAATAAGATGTAATTTGTCTGAACCGTGTAATGTGGATATCTGCGCAACACATTTCGAACAATCTCATCACACATGGACTTGTCATAGGAATATATATGAAATTAGGTAAGAGGTGAGAAAACAGACTTTTTTCGTTTTTTTTCCTTCACGTTCCCCAGTGGAACATAGGGCTTCAAGCTAGCGACTTGAAGTTTCTGTAGCAGTGGTATTTATTTTTACAGGATGTGGTTGCTAGCCTCATGCCCAACCTTACCTCTTCACCAGCATTATTTCTGGCTTAGTGAGGTAAAGGAGTGCGTCGGCCGGGGATCGAACCCCGGACCATGTGCATGATCGGCGAGCGTCCTAACCGCTAAGCCACCGACGCACGAGAAAACAGACTTAGGTCAAGTTAAAAGGACATATTCAAAGTCAAAATAACAACGAAGACCACTAAACCAAATAGCAGAGGTAATAGTACATCTACCCTGGCCGGTACCAAAACAAAATTTACCAAGGAAGGTTTAATGTGATGACGAATTGTTTTTGAACGCATAAAGGTGGCTTAAAATTTTTAATTGCTAGGGCTTCCACAAACTTTAGGATACGCCCCAAACACGTTTTATAGATAGGTTTAAAAGATCTGTTAACGTCAATTTTATGTTCTGTCTCCTCTGTAATATGTTTCGGAATAGAAGAGCTAGGTCTCCTGTTCTCACCATTAATAGGTTCTGAAGATTCCATTTGTTTCTGGAGCCCTTTAGGAATATGCTCTGAAGCCAGCCCTTACTTGCAGAGATCGATGAGTCATCCCTCCTATGTATGTGTGTCCTTATGTACATTCAAATTGGTAAATACAGTGGGATGTGACGTCATTTTTCGCATGTTCAAAAGGATTAGATAGAGATATTGGCTTCACATTCTCAATTATTATGATATTAGTTGTATAAAAAGTCTTTTTAACAGCAGCAGAGTTCAATCTTTGTCTACTTATCAAGCTGCTTTGATGCCCCATATAGGGTAGCTTGATGTACACGTCTTTCTTAGGGGCAAGTTGGAAAGAGTAGGTTTTGGTGTTCTGACTACTTTATATCTCCTGATGAACTTGTCTGGATAATTGTTAGCAACCAGAGTTTGTGTCAACTTTCTTTCTTCATCATCATCAAGTGTGTCTTGAGTGCATATTCGTTGGATTCTACTGGCGAAGCACCTCAATCACTAAGTCTCTTTTGTACCGAACAGGGTAGGATTTGTGATAATTAAGATACTGTCCTATCCAGGTGGGTTTTATATAAATAGATCTTTTTATCGACCCATTAAGCCGTCGACTAAGCAATATATCTAGGGAACATTAACAGTTATCTTCATCTATTGTGAACTTCATTCTTTCGATTTAAAATTGAGGTGGCAGAACAAGACTTATCACTGATGATTACAATGTCGTCTACATACCTTCTGTAAAGTGACACATATCCGATTGAATGCTTATCGCAGTTGATACAATTTATTTTGTAGATGATATTGGTTTTATCTACTTTCGCTGTTGAGTCTTTTGGTTCAAAAACACTACATTGGCCAAAGTGGACGTCCCCTTCGTCTTCGTATCCACGAACATAAGCTAGCCGTCAAAAGACATAACATCCACTCCCTCATATCACTACATACAGACAACCACGGGCATCAATTCG